GCCACCTGAATTTCTTGGAGAACTGTCTATTCAACTCCTTTGACTATTTTTTATTCGGGTTATTTGCTTTTTGTTTGTTGAGGTGCATGAACTCTTATATATATTATGGATGTCAAACCTTTATTGGATCTTTCATTTATGAATATATTCTCCCATACTGTAGGATACCTTTTTGTTCGATTGATGGTGTCCTTTGCTGTACAGAAGCTTTTCAGCTTGATATAGTCCCACTTGTTCATTTTGGCTTTTGTTTCCCTTGCACATGAAGTAATGTTCATGAAGAAGTCACTCATGTTTATGTCCATGAGATTTTTGCCTATGTTTTTTTCTAAGAGTTTTATGGTTTAATGACTTACATTCAGGTGTTTGGTCCATTTTGAATTTACTTTTCTGTATGGGGTCAGACAGTGATCCAGATTCATTCTTACATGTAGCTGTCCAGTTTTGCCAGCACCATCTGTTGAAGAGACTGTCATTTCCCCATTGTATGTCCATGCCTCCTTTTTCGTATATTAATTGAGCAATGTGTTTGGGTTCATGTCTGGGGTCTCTATTCTGTTCCACTGGTCTGTGGCTCTGTTCTTGTGCCAGTAACAAATTGTGTCCTTTGGTTGCTAAGTAAATGAACTACTGAAGTCCTCTCAATCAGTTTTCATGTGCCTCCCATTTGAGCATTAACTTTCTCTCCTTACAATTCCTGACATTTGCACTTGCACTTAGGTTCCCCTACCTAAGCTACATTCAAGGATATATACTCTAGAGTTCTCCAGGTTATTGTGTTGTCTGAGTATGTGTGATTGGGTAGAAAAGGTTTTGGGTAGTAATCTCCATCCATTCCTCTCTCCCTTTCCTATTGTCATAGTCATTGCCCAATTTAATTTCCCAATGAGTCCCTCTTAGAATAATGTAGAAATGGTGAGTAGAAACAATGGTGTTCACAATTCCATTCTACTAATTCATCACCCACCCATTCATTTGGCCATAACTTACCCCATTCCCACAAGGTTCAGGAATGCAGTAGCTGGCAACAGCACAGGCTGGCCCACTGCCCTCCCATCCCAGGGCCCACAGAAGTCTTGTATTGCAGATGGACTGAGTAACCTATTTTAAAAATGTGTTCTTTGCTTGGAGATGCTGAAGTTTAAATCAAGGCAGGGATCAGAGACCCTTCTGAGACAGACTGTGGACAAGGCATATGGAATCTAGGAGCCTTTCATCCTCTTGATTGTCCCAGGTCTTTTTCCACAAAGTGCATGGAGTCCTGTGTGCATATTGTGGCATCTCAAGAGTTACCTGCTTCTACTTTGGTTTCTAATAATCTGGTGGGCTCAAGACACTGTGACCTTGGTCTTTAAGGGTTCATTTAGTAGCACGTGGCATTTATGGGCAAGGTCCTGGAACTAAATGTCCCTGTAGTAGGAACTCTCTTCCTAACCCTATTGGGTAATCATTGTTAGGTATCAGGAAACATTTGTTCTCAGTGAATGAAGCATGCTTAATGTCCTGGCTGTTGAACCAGGGGCCTGTCTATTGGGGTACAGTGCACAGAAGAAAACAGTGCCCCCACACCTGTCTCTCCACTTGTTCCGCCTTAGTTCCATGGGGAGATACACCCATGGGGGGTATGATGCAAATGACCACCAAAGTAGCTCCCTACTGCCTGGAATAAACCTTGTGTTGAGACTCGGTTTCTCTCTCTTGGTGGAGTCGGGACATCAGTTCATTTCTCAAAGCATCATCCAAACATGGAGAAAGCCCAGGCCCACGTGTGTGTCTCCATCTACAGCCTTTGCCTTTTAGCTGTCTCCAGAAGCAGGGGGAGTTCTCCCCACAACCTGTCTGCTTTAGGAAGTGGTTCACTCGTTACTAGTCCAACTGACTGTCTCTGAACAGAATATAAGTATATCTCTGCAGTTACATTTGTATGGCTGGCATTTTTGAGTGCAGGGTTTCTTTTTTGTTTGCTAAAATCTTAGATTTATTTTTCTTGGTAGACACTCATGTAGCAGTGATACTTGGTATTCTTCTGTGGAAGGAGACTAAGCAGCTGAAACTAGTCACCTGCTTTGCTTCTATCAGTCTTGAAAAAATGATGGAAATTATGCTTCTAAGACACTAGAACAGTGGGAAGTATCCTGATATTTGGTATTTTTGAATGCATAAGAAAATGTCTACAATTTTACAAAATTATAATGACCACACTTCTGCAGGTGAATGGCAGTATTTTGTATTTGAATAAGGCTCTTTGTTATCTTTGAAGTAATTTGTTTCTGTTGTCTCGTTGTCGGGTGAAGTTAGTAAGAACTATTATTAACCCATTGCCTTGTTTCATCCTTGTAGAGCATTTTACTATGCCCAGGCCACTTCAAAAACAACGGCTTTGCTCCTGTATTCGTATGTGTGTGTCTGTGTCTGTGTCTATGTCTGTGTGTGTGTGTGTGCATTTAATTTGGAGGAAACATATTGACCAAGTAGTTGCAGAGATAATACAGAGGGATCCTGTGTATGTACAGATGGTCCTCACCCTGGGGTGATTTTGTCCCTTCGCAGGTCTCAAGGATGTTTGGAAATGCCTGGAGGCCTTTTGGTTTTCATAGTTGGATGTGCTACTGGCATCCAGTATGGAGAATAGGGATGCTGCTCTACATGCCAAAGAAGAATGCATTGCCTCACACACACAACAATTAACCAGCCTAAAGTGTAAATAGTGCTGCAGTTGAGAAACTCTGCTCTAGACGCTTGACCAGTTTCACTAGTGTTATCATGTTAAATTACCATGACACATATATCAAAAGTAAGAAATGCTTCAATATCATGACGCTATGGAATTTTTCAGATTTCCATTTGTTAAAACTAATACCCTTTGGTACTCCTCTTTAGTCTGATCCCATCTGTGACAGTTTCTCCATCTTTCGTTGTTTTTCATGACCTTCGTCTGCCTTTTTGTTTTTGAGCTTCGTACTTTTGAAGAGATTTGTAAGTATTTTTCACCTGGCTGTGATACCGACCCCATCCACATAGCACAGGCAGTGTATATAAATGTGTGCTTTGGGGTTCATCCTTGACTGCAGGTTTCTTGGCATTGAGAGGGTAGGGATGACTGGTAATTGTCGTGGTTGTGAGCTCAAGACAGTCCCATATAACAAGGCATTTCCTAAGGAAAATGGCAACCACAGTGCCCTCCCTTACGCACATAGCTCTCATGTCCTTTCTAGTAACTCATGTAGACTGAAATGCCTTGCTTCAAGTCTAGCAAAAGGCAGGTAGTCAACTTCAGAGTAAAAGCTTGATTTTTTATAGTTTCAGTCCAGGAGTTTTTGTCTCTAACAGTAAGTGTCTCTACTGAAAATCTTTGCTTTAATGTTTTTAGCAACAATTTGAGTCTTTTGGGAAATCTTTATTTGTAACTGGATGAAACGTTTTCATTTTATTTGCTGAGGTATTGCAAAGAAGCATGAGTTGCAGCCCAGTGGAAACACTGAAAAAAGAACTAGAATGCATAGCATATTTCCATGGCAAGGGGGCCAGGAAAGAATTTGGGGCCTCAGCTGTGTTCAGGGAGGTGTGTGTATCCCTCCTGCTGCTTTTCTTTATAGCCCTTCCCCCAACCTGCCAGTGTGCACATTCATTTACTTGTATCTTCTGTCTCCGCCCCCCTTAGAAAGCAAGTTCC